AGAGAGAGAGAGAGAGAGAGAGAGAGAGCGAGAGAGAAAGCAAGCTCTTGTTCTTGTAAGTTTGTTGGGCCTTGTTGAGGGTGTTTACGGTTCACTTCTTATCCTTTGTTAATTGGTCTTTCTCTCCCCCTATGAGAAAAAGAAAAAGAAGAATTCATCTGACCCCCACCCAACCACCCATGCTCCCTGAGCCTCTCTCTATCGTGCTCTCCCTCTACAGCAGCCATGCAGATCAGTTAGAGAAGGAGAAACGACCAATGAGAGTACATCAACATGATTGTTCGCAGAACATCATTAAGCTCCAATGTAGGACCAAAACTGTTTGATTGCACATTCTATCGTAACACGTCATTGGAACGATGCCTTTGTTGGGGCGCCTGAAAACATTCCAAAGTCATCTAAATTGAAGCACATGACATCCAACCATGCCATTTTAATTGGGAGGCCAGTCAGAAAAAAAAATTTCAATCTATTTTTCACACAAAGTGAAGTGTAAAGCATGAATGAGTACAGGGTGGAAATGAAGACAAGAATGATGGAGGAAAAATATAGAGAAAATATACTTCCGCCACCTTTCCAAACCCCCCCCCCCCCCCCCCCGTGTGTTTGGGGCTAGCTCATACAATTAGAGGGGAGCTGGAGAGAAAGGAAGGGACCTGTCTTTGGGCGAGAGACAGGGGGACAAGGGTTGGCCTGCTTCACAGCACCTCTGGCCCCTCTTTCTCCCAGTGAGTGATGTAAACAATAATAGTGCCAGGACTGAAAGGACACAGGTGTCAACCATTGTACTGCTCTGAATGGGGCTGGGGGAGGGAGGTCAGGGGGGCACACCGCCGGCTCAGCCACCTCTCACACTGTTTTTATTCACCACCACCTCCCTCTTTCATATTGTCTCTTTTCTCTCACCCTCTCTTTGTTATTATTAAGGCTAACTGTTCGGCTAATACTTTGAGCTGTTTGCACAGGCTTCACGTTGGAAATGCTTAACATTCCTGAACATGACTGGTTCAGCACAACAAAAAGGCCTGGTTTGGTGTGGTCTTTAACATGCTTTTAGATTTTAATAATCTTTTTTCTTAAGATATAAGATATAATTAATACAACATCAACTAACACTTCATGTAGTCTGTATTTTTACATAGAAGTAGTGTACATACTGTAGTCAACTGTTTTCTCATTACACCTGCAAAGCTGAGTTATTTCCCAAACCTAGACCAAACACATGCTTCCTGAGGGGAAAGTACATTCTCACAGTATGAACTGACTGAATCAACACTGAAGGCAACATATAAAATGTGTCTAAGGCTGACACTGCAAGCAGAGACCACCCCCAACATACAAGCAGCGACCGCACCATAAGCATTTCAGACCCGCGTGCAGGGGTTAGATATGTGGCCATGTGGGAGATCATAGGACCTCCACCAAAGATAGAGGAGATGCTTCGCTGTACATCAGCATTTGCTAGTGATTTACACGTCATCCTCCTCCCTTCCTTCCCCAACAGTTCCTCTCCACCTTGAAGAGAGGAGATTCATGAGTCCCATTCTCACCAGTGGGCCACCCATTCTCCAGGCTACGGATGATAAATGCCACACACATACTTTTGTGCGTACACACACACACACACACTTCAGAGCATTGACTAACCATCCAAGGCCATTCTTCCCATGTTGCTCACATGAGCTTGTGATGGCGACTGGATGAAGATTTGTGGACTGGTGTCCTTTGTGCTCAAACACCCAGGGCCAGGCAATACCATCAATTGAGATGAGAGCCTGATGGTTGAGGTGCGCCACATTTTTGTAATGGATGGATGATTATGGCATGACATTTCTGCTATCTCAGCAGCCTGGTGGCACAAATCAAAAAATTAGAAAACATGTTCTCTGACGTGTTGCTTTTAACTACAGATTAATGCTTTTAACCTCAATTATGTTTTCTGTCATTTGCCTTGCTGGGCCACACATTCTCCACAAATATCTAATTTCCATGACATTACAGCAGGATGCAAATCACGAGGCAGCAAATCAAATCAAATATCGAATCACATTTTATTGGTCGCATACACATATTGTGGATGATCGTAATGTATGCATCAAATTGGAATGTATTATGCAGTTCCTTGCCATGAGAAACATATTAGGTGAATAATAGGATGATTGAAGGGAGAGCAATGATAGTATCCATTGGCCTTATTTCATCAGATTACTAGAGTGACTTGAAGGAAAATTCCACACAAAAACTATGTTTTGGTATTTGTTTCATTTGTCCATTGTTGATATAGTTCCAAAATGTTTTGCATGTCAACAATCAAGTTTTCTAAATATATAACTCTCAAAATACAGCTGGTATGATGCATTTTCCATCATATAATGCAAAATGCAGCATCATATGATGCAAAAAAAGTACCCAAGGTACACTACTACTGTAGTCTCTAACAACACATCATGGTATGATCACGTCTGAGAACCTGGCTGGACTGGGTGTGTCTTCAGTGCATGTGTCTTTGGTGTGTGTTTTAAGTTGAGTGTGTGTGTGTGTGTGTGTGTGTGTGTGTGTGTGTGTGTCCGTGCGTGGGCTCCATGCTTGGTGGAGATGCTAGACGAGGGTGAGGGGATTTATTACCAAACATTAGGAGCACTAATCTGTTGCAGGTGTTACTGGCTGCTATCCCAGGAGGGGCCTGCTCCCTTCCCCAGGAGGCCCCAACATGTGTGTGTGTGATTCTGTTTAGTTTAACATTCTTTAGAAGGACCATGCTATCTTCTCACAATATCAAATGGAACCTTGGAGAATGACTTGATTTCTAAGTGGACCAATCTGTTTCAATACAGTACTGATTTAAGATGTGATCAAGACAGCAGTGGTCACTTCCAATCAATCAGCCAAATCAAAGGAATATCATAGACAGGTTGGACGGACTGGGTTGTATCCTAGGGCTGCTGCACGCCACAATACTGTGTTAGCTGAGCTGAGCTAAAGCCTAAGCATTAGCCCGAGGAGCTAACGCAAGACTACAGGTCTCATCCAAGGTTACTTAGTATGCAAGCAAGGTTCACTGAACTACCTCCATTACACAGGGAAATAGTACATCATGATTATGTAATCTACCAGCCCCACCAGGTTTTAACCTTCACTTCAACACCCCAAGGTTACATGGAGCTCCCTCCCTAGTCTCTTGTAGGGATAGCCCCTGAGGTGCTGTATTTAAATACAGTGGACCACCAAGATAGATTACACTGAGTTGGTAAAAGGCCTGAAGGGCCGCTGGGCTGATGAACAATGACATCAGGAAACAACAGGGACCTCCCCCTCCCGGCAGAATGCCACACAGCCTACTGTGACAAGCTACGACATGGAGTGGTGGGGTAGTAGTTGGAAGGTGGGTGGTTGGTAGTAGTGGGTGGTGTCCATTATGATTTACAATTAAAATATACTAAAGACGGAAAAAAGTAAGTGAAACTACACCCTAGAGAACACTAGACTCATAGAGTACACTAAAGTACAGCCCAATCATACATCTCTGGGAAAGCGAGCATTAAAATAAGGATGAAACAATACTGTACTACTGAATTATTGATTTATGCACATTACAGTACAATACAGTACTTTTATTCCATTGAGGGTATATCATGGTAGGGGGATTTGGGGAAGGCCACCCGAGCCACAGACTGTTTACTCGGCTAACATCTGACAGATGGAGACAGTACAGGTGCATCAGTGCCAAGACAGAGAGAGTAAAAAACAGCTTCCATCAGACTGTTGAACAGCCATCACTAGCCGTCTACCATGTGATGCACACTAACTCACACAAATCACACACACAAGCTATCACACACACACACACACACACACACACTCACACGAACAAAGCCAACGCTGCTGTCCCATGTCATACAGACATTAAACCACTGGACACTTCCCGTTTCACACTGAGTATTTAAATACTGTATTACCGACATACAGTAGCTCACTCTAATATATCTACTGCTGTACATATCATTCTTAGTATATCTTGTGTAAATTCTTCCAGTGTATATATGTATATTTTGTAATTTTACTTTTTAATTATTTGTGTAATTGTTTGACATTTTACTGCATTGTTAGGAGCTAGTAACAAAAGCATTTGCACCCACTATAACATCTGCTAAACTGTGGACATGATCAATACACTTTGATTTGAGGTCAAAATCATAACAGACAAACTATGAGCTTGCTTGAATCTAAAATGCATCATGTCTAGGTTCTGCATCATTTCTTAGGAACCACTGCCCTCGAGTGGTTGACATGGGGATTGTTCATTGAGGCAATAAAAAAGGTAGCCTGGTGAAACCAGTCTGATCGTGCTATGGCTCATAGAAACTAAACATGAGTGCAGCAGTCAGTCTGCTTGATCCGGCTATAAAAAGGTATTACACAAAGGTAAACAGAGAACACTACACACTACCTGACATGAACCTTCCTCTCCCCTTATTGATTACCAGTGTTGGGAAAGCTACTCTGAAAATATAGTTTACCAAGCTACCAATTACTTCACACTTAAAGAAGTTAAGCTACACTAAAGCTAACATTAAGAAAAATATAGTTTACTTAACTGAAGTTACTTTGAAAAAGTAGATCACTACATCCAAACTACTTTGTGAAAAATTATCATATCTAAATCTGAAATATCATTGACTACAAATTGCTAGAACACATCACTCCCCAGTCAGATGTTAACATAATGTATAATATAGCCTATTAAACACAAAAAGTGAGAATTAGGCACACAAGGGTTTCAAGTGAGAATTAGGCCAGCATGATGCTGAAAAATAAATAATTATTGCCTAATTCACCCATATTTTATTATATTTTTGCAAAAACAGTAGTGTCTGGATCCAAGATGTTAGCTACATGGCAAAACATGTAGTTTACTACTGAAAACACTACCAAGATTTGAATTTAGTTCAACTACCACCAAGCTACTGCAAAATGTAAGTAAATAACTAGTTGAACTACATGTAGTTCACTACTCCCCAACACTGTTGATTACATCATTCACAAGCAATGAGAGAGGGGATGGACAAAGTTCAAATTGTGACATAAACGTGCAGAAATCTTACAATAATTTGTATCACAGAAAGGCAACCAATTATACAAAGAAGAAGACCAACAAGAACACAGTTTTACATGAACAAATCTTTAAAAATACTGAACTGATTATCATTTAAAGAATGGTGTTTAAATTATCCATGTCAGAGAAGTTGGCTGTAACAGCATTTCTTTAAAATCAACAAATAACTCAAAAAAGGGAAAGATGTAAAGGCTTTATTATCATAATGTATATTTCAAGCATATGGTTAATATTTATAGAAGTAACGTATAGAAATGTCCCTGAAGTAGGGGAACCAGTCTCTGATGAGAGTGCCATAGTACCAGAACCAGGGATAGTAAGACTCTGTCTGTTGTGTGGCTCCAGAAGTGATGATGTGCAGAGCCGCCTCACTGGCCGGCCAGGCTTGGATGTTGGTGATCCCCCTGTAATACAAACAAAGGTGACTATTTGAAATGTGTCCAAGGATACTTGTATGTACTTGCATGTAACAACCATCAGGTCAATCATGAAATCATTGACTGTATTCCAGATTTAAGTTTACTTGACTGAACTTGGTATCAAAAATAGCTCACTTGACTTTCTCCATAGCTGAGTCTGTATCGATCAGGCCCAGGATGCAGATGGTGATGGACACGTTGCTCCTCTGCATGGCAAGCTCATGCTGCAACGTCCCAAAGAAGCCGTTCAGGGCAAACTTGGTGGACGTGTAGGGAGCCACAAATGGACTGCACATTTTTCCTTAAGGACCAAAACAATAGCCAGTCATAGGTTCAGGGTCACTTAATGGCGCATTTCCATTCAGGATTTACTCCAGTGTTTTACCCAAAAGGATCAGACTTTTCTGTTTCCATCTACACGGGCCAACACCTGTGTCTCACTGGGTCATGGCTCCGGTGGACCTGCTATCACTTGTGGCCAAAGCCAGGCCACTGGTACTTTTCAGCATGCATTTACATAACAATGGCTAACTGTGGACTTCAACACCTTCTCATAAAGCAAATGTATTGATGATGCAGAGGTTGTTGCAGAGGTTGTTGATTTCCCTAGTATAACATAAGGGTGTATTCACTAGTGTAACACTGGTGTTACAGTCGAAAAGCAGCATTAGAACACTTTGTGTAGAGAGAAGAGCTCTCACTTACCTAACAAGGAGGAGACGACCACAATGGAACCCTTACTTTGATCAAGGGTAGGCAGAGCTGTCTTTGCCATCTGTAGATAGCTGAGGAAATTCACCTGTGAAAAAGAAATGAAGCAGGAAGAACTAGTTAGTTCGATTCCCAAGGGGGCGGGCAGTATGAAAATGTATGCACTCACCACTGTAAGTTGCTCTGGATAAGAGCATCTGCTAAATGACTTAAATGTATTAGTATATAATGGTATGTGATATAGCAGTACTTGTGATTAAGTTACCCCACCTGCATTAACCATCTAGTGTGTTCCACATCTCCATCCCACATGGCGAATGGGCTGGGTCCTATGTGATTCAGCACCAGGTAGTCCAGTCCTCCCAGCTTGTCCACAGCAAACTTCACCACTCTCTCTGGGTCAGAAGGATTGGCCATGTCTGCTGCTACGTATAGAGCTTTCTGGGCCCCCAACACCTGGCATTTCTCTACTACCTGCAATACAAGCAAGTGATGTTTGCATAAGGGTAACATAATCATGAAAAACATTAAGTAATCAAGTTTTATTAGACGTATGTACAGGATACACATGGTATTCCATCCAATGAAATGCTTAATTGCCGGTTCGTTCTCGACAATGCAACAACAATAAGAAATAATATAAGATAAAAATACGAACATAAAGTAAATGGCTCATTAGAATACAATAAACATTTTAGCATAAGTATAATACAGGAAGAAGGGGGATTGGGGGCAAGTGTTTAAATTGTGTAGTATTAGCAATAGTAAATAAGAGTCTGGTAGCAACAGTTGTGGTGTGTGTAGCATGAACGTGTATGTTAGTGTGTGTGTATGTGTGTATGTCTGTGTGGGTGTGAGCGTGAGTGAGCAGGTGGTCAGTCCAGTTCAAGTGTTCAGCAGTCTGATGGCTTGTAGATACAAACTGTCTCTGAGCCTGGTGGTAACAGACCTCATGCTCCAATACCGTCTACCCAACGGTAACGGAGTGAACAGCTCGTGGCTGGGGTGTGTGGGGTCCTTGATGCTGCGGGACTTCCTCAGGCACCGTTTCAAATAGATGTACTGGGCCGTCTTCACCACCCACTGGAGGGCCTTGTCATAGAGTTAAGTGGGAGAACTAATGGCTAGAGACATTGACATTGACGAAAACACCTAATTGAAGTGGTACTGACCTGCTGTAGAACCTTTTCCCTCCTGGCTGTAATTACCACCTGGGCACCAAAGCCGGCAAGGTGATATGCCATTTGTTCACCTATACCCGCACTGGCACCAGTCACCAGGACCCGGGCACCCTTTAACGACTCTGAAAACCAGCCATATTGAAAGTCATTACAGTAGTCATTACTTCTTACAGTATAGTTTGTCTAAATGCAATTCAAAAGGGAAAAACAAAGACAAGGGGCTAGAATGGGGACTGTTTAATGTCGACGTAAGGCCTATCAAGAAAACGTACAACTGATGTGGTGTAAAGTACGTGCTGTATCCTAGACCTGATGGACAGTTTCCTGGCATCCAACTATCATGATGATATGGATCTTTATGTCTGTCTAGGACTTAGTGTATAATACAATGTGTAATCTATACAGGCACATGCACAGATAGGAGTCAACCTGTGACCAGCACATGCCCCTTTGCCCTCCCACTTGCCAAGTGCCCTTTTGGTTGGTGATATATGCATTCGGAAAGAATTCAGACCCCTTCACTTTTTCCACATTTTGTTACGTTACAGCCTTATTCTAAAATTGATTAAATAGTTTTTTCCCTCATCAATCTACACACAATACCCCATTATGACAAAGCAAAACTGGTTTTTAGAAAACTTTTAGCAAATTTATATTTAAATAGAAATCTGAAATATCACATTTACATAAGTATTCAGATCTGGTCTGTCTGCCCAATATAAACGATCAAAACTGGCGGAGGAATAAAAATAGCATAAATAGGAAAGTATACCAGTTTCATTTGAAGACCAGGATGTTGACAGCTGTGCCATACAGATTGCAAAATAGTTGGGAAGAGATTTTTGATGTACCGATTCTATGGTACAGGGTGTATGAGTTCATATATAAAACGATGCAAGATTCAAGACTTCGTGCTTTTCAGCTAAAATTATTATATAGAATTCTTGCCACCAACACAATGTTGAATATTTGGGGCATACAATCATCGAAGCTCTGCAGATTTTGTTGTGAGGATACAGAATCAATATCCCATTTATTTTGGTATTGCCCTCAGGTAGCCTGTTTCTGGTCTCAGGTTCAGGAATGGCTGAAAATACATAACATTGATCTAAAATTGACCCTAGAAATAGTACTGTTGGGAGATCTGGAGAGACCGGATCAGTCAATTACTAATATACTAATACTCTTAGTAAAAGTATTTATCTTCAACTCGCAATCTGTGGATTCTATTCGATTAGATAGATTGAAATTGTATGTTAAACATCACAGCATAGTTGAAAGATATGGTGCATAGAAATCCGAAGAGGGTGGCCAGCAGAGATAGGTGGGATGGGCTGAGGGAAGCTGAGGGTTGGGATGTGGAATTGGAGACAAGTGGGAGTGGAGTTGCTGGGCGGGGGACAGAATGAAGGTCAAAGATAAAAGTAAAATAAATACAGTCAAAATAAAACATAACAAAAAGTCAGTCTGAATGACACTGAGGGGCAATGTTGTTACAGCTAACGCCTGTTTGTTTGAGGCTGATGCCTTGCAGGTGTTTGTACAAATGCATATACACACACTCTCATTCAAATGCACACATCTGCACATGCACAGACTGTGGGAGACTGTGGGAGATCGACGTGCCCTTGAGCAAGGCGTTGACCCTGGTTGCTTCTGTGTGTCGCTCTTGATGGGAGTCTGTTAGATTACTAATGTGATGTAGTTGTTGAGCGGCTTCACTGCAAGTGTATTGTATGTTTTAAATATTCAATAAAACAAAATGTATTTAAACAAAATATATATATATATATTCTGACCCTTCACTCAGTACTTTGTTGAAGCACCTTTGGCTGCGATTACAGCCTCAAGTCTTCTTGGATATGACGCTACAAGCTTGGCACACCTGTATTTTGGGAGTTTCTCCCATTCTTCTCTGCAGATCCTCTCAAGCTCTGTCAGGTTGGATTGGGAGCGTCGCTGCACAGCTATTTTCAGGTCTCTCCAGAGATGTTCGATTGGGATCAAGTCCAGGCTCTGGCTGGCCCACTCAAGGACATTCAGAGACTTGTCCCTAGGCCAGTCCTGCGTTGTCTTGGCTGTGTGCTTAGGGTCGTTTTCCTGTTGGAAGGTGAACCTTCACCCCAGTCTGAGGTCCTGAGCACTCTGGAGCAGGTTTTCGTCAAGGATCTCTCTGTACTTTGCTCCGTTCATCTTTCCCTTGATCCTGACTAGTCTCCCAGTCCCTCCCAGTCCCTGCCACATCCCCACAGCATGAGGCTGCCACCACCATGCTTCACCGTAGGGATGGTGCCAGGTTTCCTCCAGACGTGACGCTTGGCATTTAGGCCAAAGAGTTTCTTGGTTTCATCAGATCAGAGAATCTTGTTTCTCATGGTCTGATAGTCCTTTAGGTGCCTTTTGGCAAACTCCAATTGGGCTGTCATGTGCCTTTTTCTGAGGATGGGCTTCGATCTGGCCACTCTACCATAAAGGCCTGATTGGTGGAGTGCTGCAGAGATGATTGTCCTTCTGGAAGGTTCTCCTATCTCCACAGAGGAACTCTGGAGCTCTGTCAGAGTGACCATCGGGTTCTTGGTCACCTCCCTGACCAAGGCCCTTCTCCCCTGATTGCTCAGTTTGGCCGGGCGGCCAGCTCTAGGAAGAGTCTTGGTGGTTCCAAACTTCTTCCATTTAAGAATGATGGAGGCCACTGTGTTCTTCGGGACCTTCAATGCTGCAGACATTTTTTGGTACCCTTCCCCAGATCTGTGCCTCGACACATTCCTGTGTCATGACTGTCCTGACAGTGGATCAAAGGACCCTCTCTCTCTCCCACAGGAGAGGGAGCGGGGAGAAGTTGGACAGTTTTATGACTTAACAACCGGTCGTAAATACCGTGCAGACATTCTCTTCCTTGCCATGAGGTATTGGGAGAAAGGACCCCTTTGTTGACACAGAGATTCTTCCCGCCAAAACTCCAATATCCAAAGTGGATAATGAAACAATATTTATACTTCAAAGAATGTGGGAAATGGTTGTTGGGGACTTAAAGAACAATCATGTCGAATTCGTTACTATGTTGTGATGTCATTAAAGACGGTGGAACAACATAACTGTATCTCTGGGGGTGTACACTTCCCAGTTATGAGGTTTGCATCTAATTGTTGTATAAAACGAATGATTAAGTATAATAATATGTTTGTGAAGATAATCATGTGATTTTAGCATTCTAGATTAGATGATTATTTTCCATATTGACTTGTTCTCAGTCAGTGGCCCAGCCCAGATGAGCACAAACATGATGAAACACCCCTTTTTCTTCTCAAGTATAAAACCCCTCGTGACGAAATTCACACTAGACCAAGCAGACCACGGTGTAAGCCGGATGTTGCAAATGGTTGAATTTCTACCAGACCAGGAAGCTACACGGCTTCAAATGGTTAGACCAGAAAGACCAGAAAATGTGAGGCGTTAGTCCACACGTTTGAAATGGTGAGAAACTCTGAAACTCTCAACCTCTAAACGAGGTGAGGAAGAAGATAAACGCACTACACCTTATCATATCAGTCTGCAACTGGCATGTATAGTCATCTAGAGAATTTTCACTAAAGACACAAGTTGGGAAGGACAATCCCTCTCCGACAACTGTTGGTACATCTGAAGTATCTATTCTAACAGATCAACTATACGAACTACAGAGTATGCTAAAGTACCCATTCTAACCACCAACACGACCAGAAACTCTACCAAGGACATTGGGATCTATGTTGGGAAAACCAGAGTCCTACATCATCAACTCAACTATCGAAGACAGCTACACGTAAATACATGTTGCATTTCTAATCCGAATGAGCGGATATTAGGTTGCTAAGCATTCGTATTTCCGTGAGCGTAGTTTACAAATGTCCGATAGGTGAATTCCTTTGTCTCTTCCTCCTCCCCCCCCCCCCTCTCTGAATCCGCCATTGTGTTATAACCAAACTGTCCTGTTTTGTTAGTCCGCTAGACTGTATTTACTGTATAATGTTAGTGGGTTTTATGTATTCTGGAATTGCTATGGAGTTAGTAAATAAATAATTGAGCCAAGTTGTGTATTGCTGATTCAGCAATAAGGTTAGGGTTCTTACAGGTTCAAGGTTTATGCGACGTTCAGAATGAGACTGATAAGAGGTAATTATTCAATAAGTGACCTTGCACACACTTGCCTGCATCTAGCGGATCTATGGTGTAATCATTAGTCCAACAGTTGCAATAGAGAGTTGCTATTGGCGAAATTATTGTATGTTTATTACCACTTTGTTCCGTTTTTTGGCAGAATGAATACACCCGATCACACGCAAACACAGTTCACTTTCACAACAGCCACATACAAACAGCAGGATCCCTTTGATTGTTGTATAATTCCTTCTGGCATCTAAGTGCTCTCCTCCTCTCACCTTTTTCCTTTGCTTGTGGACTTTAGTGCACAACACATCAGCTTTCTGTGACCAGGTGAAAAAACCTTTCCAAGCCAGACCTTCATATCATAACCTCTAACCGCTACACACAGCCTACAGTGGCTTGCGAAAGTGTTCACCCCCCTTGGCATTTTTCCTATTTTGTTGCCTTACAACCTGGAATTAAAATGGGTTTTTTGGGGGGTTTGTATCATTTGATTTACACAACATGCCTACCACTTTAAAGATGAAAAATATTTTTGGGGGTGAAACAAACAAGAAATAACACAAAAAAACAAAAAACTAACTATTCACCCCCCCAAAGTCAATACTTTGTAGAGCCACCTTATGCAGCAATTACAGCTGCAAGTCTCTTGGGGTATGTCTCTATAAACTTGGCACATCTAGCTACTGGGATTTTTGCCCATTACCACAGATTCTCAATTGGATTGAGGTCTGGGCTTTGACTAGGCCATTCCAAGACATGTAAATGTTTCCCCTTAAACCACTGGAGTGTTTCTTTAGCAGTATGCTTAGGGTCGTTGTCCTGCTGGAAGGTGAACCTCCGCCCTAGTCTCAAATCTCTGGAAGACTGAAACAGGTTTCCCTCAAGAATTTCCCTGTATTTAGCGCCATCCATCATTC